AACTCAGCAGACCCTCTGGTGTCTGAATAAAGGACAGACGTGGACCCTTATCTGCTCTGTCTCCCATAGCAGCAGAGGCCATCTTCATACCAGTGAGTGACCTGGGCCCCAGGCATGGAGGAAAACCCAGAGCCAGTCAACAAAGGTGGTTGACCTTGCTCCGCTAGATATCAAGTGCTGTATGAAGCGATGAGGGCATAAAGCTACAGCCCCCAGGGAAGGCACAGGTTGGTGGGAGAAATAGAAATCTAAAGTAGCAACGAAAACTACTTTCACAGAAGAGCAAAAGAGCCGAGTCCCACATCGTGTGGGGCTGGGGTCCAAAGACAACACAGAGGGCAGCAGTACCTAAGGCAGAGTCTAAAGTGACCTTCAAAATGCCTTGTGGTTTCCATGCTTTATGCAAGTTCAGCATGGCCATGTCTTCTCTCCAGAACATTCTTTCTTGGGTTGAACATAGTTGAGTTGGTTTTCTTTGAACAGCCCTGCTATTAAATGATATCCAAGTGAGAGAACTAGCATTGTTCCCAGGCAGTGAGCAGCTTGCCCTGCCTTGCCATCCAAGGAACTAAGGATGCAGCAGATGCAGCCACACACCCTCATGCCCACCCTTCATGCTCCGGGGGTGGGGGGAGATCAGGGAATGGACATTTGATCTACTTTGTGTCGTCAGCACCTGTGCGTGAGCTCCATCTGCACATGTCAGGAGTGTGCATAGCGGGGCTGCATATCACAGAGATGTGTGGGTCTTCAAGGACAAAGGCACTAGAAGGACCAATTTGTCTGGAGAGCTCAAGATGAGCATAAGAGAAGGTACAACTTGGGGCACCTGGGGGGCTCAGTTGGTTCAGCATCTGACTTCGGCTCAGGTCATGATCTCATGGTTTGTGGGTTCGAGCCCTGTGTTGGGCTCTGTGCTGACAGCTCAGAGCCTGGAGCCTGCTTTGGATTCTCTCTCTCTCTCTTTCTCTCAACTCCACTTGCTGTCTCTCTCCCTCTCAAAAATAAACAAACATTAAAGAGAGAGAGAGAAGGTACAATTTAAGCTGGGGCTTCAAGTGTCAGGGACACAGCACATGCCAAGTATGGCATATTTAGGCAGCAGGCTGCCCAGGACAAGCTGGGGTGTGGATCAGGGCCTTCAGCATTAGGACAGCCCAGCCTATGAAGTATCTTGGGCATCATCAAGGTACCTGGATTTGAAGTCAGATATCATGGGTGGCTTCTGAAGGGACGGGGAAGCAGCAAAGTGACAGGTTAGATCTGTGTCTCAAACAAACTGCTCTGCTTGCACTGGACGTACTGAGCCAGTGGACGCAACAGATGTCTCCAACCTCATGATCTGAGGAGGAAAGGGGATGACGGTCTTATCCTCTAGGAGCTGTTAAATAGAGAAGATGGACAGGGGGCTGTGTCCACTTTGGGGCACAGTGTATTTAAAGTAATTGGGAACTTTCAACTGGAGACTCCTGAAATCCACTGGATGTCAGGACCAAATCTCAGAAATGAAGGCAAAGGTGAATGATGTGGATTTTAAGTCCATGTATTTTAGACAATACATACTGAGGTCATCATATAAAATGTTTTCGGCAGGGCATGTCCCCCACAGCAGGAGTTGAGGGGTGGTGGCTAACGTTGCTGTAGCCATTCCTGTGAACAGCCCCCCCTATTGTTCTAGGGGGACAGTGAGGCCACAGAAGTGAATGACATGGCCAGTGGGAGCCCTCAGTCAGAAGAAAGTCAGCAGCAACCAACAGTTAAAGGACAAAGCCAAAAAGAGGAATAAAAAGCAAGAATTAGAAACATATGAGGAAAAGCAAGAGAACAGGGTCTCAGGAGCCAAAGGAAGTGAGAATTGCAAAGGAGAGTGAATCACTGTCAAGATAAGTAAGACACAGAATGAAAGGCACGGGCTGGCTTTGGAAGTTGGGAGGCTACCTATGACCTTGGCAAGAGCTGTGGTTGGGAGGGAGTGCTGGGAGATGGGGCTGCTACTGGGGGCGGGGGGTGGGAATGCAGGAGGAGGCGAGCACCCTCCCACCCACCCCCACCCCCATGTGAGGAGAAGTTTCCTTGGAAGGGCTGACACAGATGGTTACTTGAAGGAGAAGCAAGGCTCCTTTCAGTGTATGGGGCAGAATCTACTTCTGTCATTGTAATTAGTTGCTATTTGATATTTGATATTTGAGACCCACAATATGCTAAGGGAAGCTCTGGTTTCATTGTCTAATCCATTTGCCTTTTTATTTTCCATTTCACACACTATTTCCATATATTCATTCTCATGTGAGAAAGCTGGAAGTTGGAAACTTCCCGGAGCATTCAAAGGCTGAGCTCAACTGAGGTCATCTCCTGATCAATCACATCTTGACGTGCCTTCCCTGGGTCCAGGCTTAGGTGTTTTGTTTTTTTTTTTTCAAGACACGAAATTGGAGACGGGTCCTTAAAACACTTTACACATGCAGTATCACCTTACATTTGTGTAGCAGGTTTTAGTTCCCAATGTAATTTTACAGCCATTGTTTCATCTCATTCCTATAAGGACCCTAAGGGGTAAGGAAAGAAGACAGGCTTATCCTCATGTTATAGACCAAAACAACAGCGAGCAAACAAAGAAAATGCTGGAAGCTCTTCAATGCATGCAAGGTCACATTTTTTCCTTGCCTCGGTTCTTGCAAGTAAATTATCAGTGGCAATGATGGCTTGATTCTTGATTTGTAAAGGGCCTAATAGTATCCCATCCAGATATATTTCAATCACAGAAGGGAGGGGGGGATGTGGAATGTGACAGTACTTTTGCCTAAATCAGCCAGTCAGGTTGACCAGCACTCCAGCAGTTTCCAGTAGTGCAAAGCCTCTCATCTTGTGTGCTCATGAGACTCCCCTGGGGACACTTGATAAAAAGGAAGATGCCTGGGCCTTCTTCAAACGAATCCCACTCTCAAAGAGACTGGCTGAATAGAAAGATACAGGAGAGCAAAGAATAAAATAGCGGAGCAGAAAGGCAGGAACATCCATCTACGACTCCATATTCTAAGGTACAGCAGACATAGTTGTGCAGCAAAAATATTCATGAATGTCTGTTTTGCATACCTGAGGATACACTCTGTTAATGCAGTCTCAAATGAAAATGTGGACAGTCCTATCTGATAACAAGGAAAGACATGCACATATACGCCATTAGCCAGAATCCCTGTTCTCACAACAGGTACACACAGCTCCATCATGGAGAATTATGGCACACGTGTACAGGCATGTCACATGCACCCTTTTTCAGGCAGGCTCTTAGAGGTTAACTACCACATATGGGCACACATCGTAATCACATAGTGATAAAGCTGATTTCAGGAGCCCCATGGCACTATGACAAAATGCTGTTCCCCAAATCACTTAATTCCCTATTCCCTTAAATAGTTGAGTGACCTAGGCATGTGCCTCCCACCTGCATGGTTCTAATTTGGAGGCAGAATTGCAGAGGAGCTGAGACAGAGATCAGATAATAATGGTTTTCTATATTTTCTAGAAAGATGGTGCTGGTGGCCCATAGTCATTGGGTTGTAAGTGTGGCCAGAAGTAGAAGACGTGCCGGTGTGTCTCATGATGTTTGCAAGATGGCTGGCTGGCAGGAGACATGAAGCCGGGGGTCAGAAACCAGAGCCCATCTGAATCAGTCCATTCCAACGGCATGCTGAGAACACTCATCAGGTGGTTGCTCTGACACACTCCCCAGGTAGGGTTGCCAGATAAAGTATAGGACACCAGTTAAATGTGCATTTCAAGAAACAACAATACCCCAAATACTGCATGGGATAGGCTGATAAAAAAAAAAATTCACTGTTTATCTGAAGTCCAAGGTTAATGGGGCCTTCTGTACTTCTGTTTGCTAAATTTGGCAAACCCCCTATCAGGGAAAGCCTCCATAACAGCTTCTACCACACAAGAAATTTTAGATGATTTCATATTTTTGTTATTAATTAGCACCTACAAATATTTTAAAGGCATACTTTCTGAAATAATATACTCCTCTTTTCTTCATCCATCATATCGTTTCTAATTTTTCAGATTAATGGCATGATGAAATATTCTTTAATGTTTTGAGTTTTTCATCCAGGAAACATCATCAATACCACCATGAGTGACTTCTACGTTGTATATTAAATTTGCAATAGTTTCCATGAAGCAGAAATACTCAAAAAGTGTAGATTTGGCATTTGGATCCTTTAACCAAACCTCCTACCTTTCTGATTGCTCACTTTCAACTGAGAGCCTCTCTAGAAAATAAATGAGTGACGTAAATGATATTATCATTACTCACATAAAGGTGTCCCACTGCAGCCCTTCCAGAAACCCACAGAGGATTTTCACAATCTCAACTGCTCTTAAAAAAAAATCTGTTTTCTATTATGAAAAATAATCTAAAAATAGTTCCACATAACACAAGGACAAAGCCATCTGTATGATCTCTCCAAAGAGCTCATATTTCTATAGATTTTTATCACTCCCCAACTGTTCCAACAAGTTCTGAAATTTAAGAAAGTTGCGTAGATTTAGCACCTAAAACTCATTGAAATATCAAATTTAATCGCTAATAGCTCAATTTGATATTATTCTTTTACATCATAGAAGGCTCAAATAAAATATGTATCAACATAAAGCACAAAACTGCATTAAAACTCATTACAAACTTTTGAAAAAGTCACTTAACATGTTTCTACCAATAATCAATAAAACCAAAATGTTGAGATAGACAAGAATACAGAAAAATGTCCAGCACTCGAGTGAAACACACACACAAACTGTTTATCTGGAAATGTTATCGCCGGTGTGTGTTTGAAAAGTAACTTTTAACAGATGTAAATGACGCTGGGCTGTTCATCAAGACTGTCCCTCTACAAAATTTCACTCTGTACGAAGAAAGTCAACATTAAAACAAAGACAAAGCTTGAACAAAAGAAAATGAATGCAGTTAACATGATTTTCGAGAAAACAAAACAACTGACCTTTGAGTGGATGTTCCCCATGGGGTCCCAGAGGGCTCCATTCAAGAAAGAGACCCGAACTACTTCATAAGCTCCTCCCTGGCCCCTTCTTCCTGCTTGCTGCATGGAAGGTGCTAATTTGCTGCCGAGGTTCACCCCTGCATCAAAAAGAAAACAAACAGCCTGAGTCTTCATTTTTGTCAGGAAGAGCTTGGCATCAGACACTCATGACATAAACTACTCTGTGAAAGTATCTGGAAGTTGAAGGCCAAGGAGACAGCATTCTCTACTAAGTCACGGTCAGTGTTGGAGGTGACGAATTCTCTGCCAATCTAACCAAACAATTGTGTGACTCACACCAAAGCTCATTTTTCCCTCCAAGTCCTATGGCATGTGCTGGGTGATGATCGAAGGCAAAGTATGTAATTCTGTCCCTCCACAAGCAACAAAAACACACCAAGCAGTGACTGTTTAAATTTAGATGAATGAATACTTTGCTTAAGATCAGCTCTCTATTAAACATCTCAAGGCTTTAGCTGTATTAAGACTAAATCCATTTACTTAAGTCCCAGTGAATCAGCTCAACCCAATGCCAAGTCTCCTCTCTGTACTTACGGGGGCTAATTTTATACACCTCAGTGAGTGATTCTATAGACAAAATTAATTTGCCAGTTCAGACTGACGAGACCGGTTTATGTAAAAAAAAAAAAAAAATTAAGTCATTCAATAAACTATTATATGATCTTGTTTCTTGGGACCCTGTTGAACCGGTTAATGTCCCAACACAGGTTCAATTTAGTGCCATATCCATAAACAATCCTAATGGAAAGTATAACATTTTTTCTCTTCTGGAGTGTGTATCGCTTTCTTAACAAGTACGGTAATTTCTCTGGGCTCGCTCTCCTATGAGGTCACGTTCCTGCTATGTGGTGCGACCACAGTGTATCCCTCAAGGTAAAGGATGGGAACAGATTCCCTCACATGTTATTCCCATTTCTTCAACCAGGACTCATAATTTTCAGGCCTGAGTCATAATAGCACTGTTTTAAGTTACTAAGGAGTTCACATTTATTGGGCACAAATGGTATTGAAATTTTAATCCTAGACATTTTACAGTTCCCCAAATACTTTTAAATCCACACCATTTTATCATTCTCAATGTGGAAGCCTGCAGTTATATTCAGGTTACAAAAGGATCACTACTTGAGTATTAACTGTCTGACACAGCCGCTCTGGAAAATTCTCAAGCTGGTCACAAAGCATTTAAAACTCCCAGGGGTTGAGGGACCACGGGAACAAGAATGAGTTGAAAGTTGGGGAGATGGCCTGTGGCAGAGGAGGTGAGTGGGCCTGGTGGCCCTGAGGGGTATGGTAGGGGGCAGGGGGGAGGGAAGAGGACCATGGGCCATGTGAACAAGGAAAGCAAAGCATGCAGTGCTCAGGGCTGAGATGAGCTGAGTTTTTGGGGATGAACCCTCATTCAAGTGAGGAGGGTTCAGGCCATGCAACCAGAGGGTCCGCTTCAGGTGGTGACATCTGTGGACACTGGCGAAGGGCTAGATGGAAATGGAAAGAATTGCTATCCATATGGAAGATTCCAGAATCCCTTCTCCTGGCTGCAGATGGAGCAGCCATTGGCAGCAGAGAGATTGTGCATAAATGACCTTCATCCACCAGCTTGATTTCATGCCCTTCAGTGCACCGCCCCCCCCCCCCCCGGTTGTATAAGATCACTACAAGCAGGGGGTTGGGGGTAAAACATCCCTGAGCACTGATACTGACTCTTCCATGTATCACCTGTGGGACTCAGGTCCAGTTGTTTGCCCACTTGTTGGTTGGTTCACTCATTCACTTACTCATTCAACAACTATTTAATCCCCGCCTACCTTCTGATGGGCATTCTGATGACTTCCATTCAAAAAGCCCATTGTTTCTCCTTTGGCCTGGTATGACCTAATGTCACCTAGAGCTGATCCTTCTGCCTACACTGGCAGGACCTTCATTTTGAAAATGTCGCTTCACCCCAGAAGACTCAGTTCTTGCCATCCCACGCATCTAAGACAGGGCCACGGATAAATGTTCTTGTGTTGGAAGAAAGATGAGTAGGCAAGAGCATTTCAGAGAGTAGTCAGGATTAGGAAAGAACAGGCCTGCATGGACTCTGTGTAAACTCCTGCAAATCTGCAATGGTTTACAAATAGAAGGGAATAAGAAAACACGGGGTGATGGTAGAGTGATGGGGAGGCCTCCTCTTGATGGACAGGCCAGGAAAGATCTTTATTTGTTGGGAGGTGGCGCATAAAAGCCCAGCCGTGAAGATGAGAACATTGCAGCCCTACACAGAGTCGTGGGAAGAACAAGTCCACAGAGGCACAGCAAGTACTTTCCCTTTCCATAAAATGAGGCAGAGTGAAGGGAGGCTAGAAGGAGAAAATATACAAAGCATAGAGAGCATCATCCTCTGGTATAGACACCGCTCTCCCAGTCTTGCCAGGACCCAGGTCTCTTGCTCTGGACCCTCGGTAGGATTCCCAAATTGGAATTTACTGAAAGTGTGTGCTAATCTAGTTATACGGCTCCTGCGGAACCAGACTACAGAGTGCAATTAGTTGAATTTATCTTAAAAGAGAGGTGTGTTATTTGAATTGGACTAAGGGGACTTTGAATTACCAACAATTATAGAATAAAAATTGGAGATGTGTCTGAACTTTCCCCTAAACTGATGAAAACCATGCCATGCCACGTGCCAAGAGTCGCCCTGGCCGTTATGTTAATATCTTGAAAAGTCAGGCATAACTGCTAAGGCAGTGATTGCAAGCATTGAAAAATTTCTCTCTACAAAAACAAACCAATTTGATTATTAAGCGCCTCCTGGCAGTTAAATTTGCAACACAAGTGAATGGTTAACTTGAGTAGTCAGTCACAAATTCGATTGTCCAAGGGCTCATTAAATCCGAACCAGGAGTTCTGCCTCACCCACCACCCACCACCCAGCCGCACGGGGGAAGATGGGATGCCTACCAGGGTATTCCAGCCGTGCTGCACAAAGACCTGGAAGGGATCTTCACCCAGCCCCAGACACTTGGATCATAGTCTTTGCATGAGACAGAACACACTTGAGAAGCCGTATGCCTCAGAAGGAAGGAGACGGCACCATACAGTCCTGGTCTTCTGGGTGAATCGTTAGCATAACCTGGCCAGCAAGAGCAAGAGTAGTAGCAAGTCCACACCCTTGATTTGGGGGAAGCTGGGGGAAACCTTGTGGGGCCTCCTATCTGATAATCAGGCTAAGGCTATACAAACCAAACCCAGGAACATTCTCAGTCCCCTGGACCTCTTTCTTACAAGACTCTTGGTAGCAGAGAAAGTTATCTACTCTCCCAAAGGCAAAATGTTCCAAACACCGAATATTTCCCTTTTCACCTACATATTCCATCATCTCAATCCAAAAGAAGTCCTTTCTGGCTGAACCGTCTTTGTCTACGAGGCTTTATTTCTAAATATTCCAAGGAGAATTTAGAGGCAGGCTCTGCCGGCACTCGGACAATGTTGCACAATCATTTTAAGAAATTGAGTAACGGCACTGTTTGCCGAGCACAGTATTTATTATCTATGTACATGGATAATGAGGTCGTCCCTCTACTTTTTAATTGGTTGCACAGTGTCCCCCCAGCGGTATCTGTAGGCAGAAGACCGTTTCTTATGAGCTTTGCTTATGTATTTATATGCTGGTATTTCTTTTAGATGATGCAAATAAAAATTTTATTTGTGCTGCATGGATAGACAGAATAAATTATACACAGCTGTGAGGTATCAGAATGTATTTTATGGAGTGATCTTGTTGACAAACCATAAAAGTAGGTCCTGAATGATGCGTACATTCAAGCCTTAGAAACCTAGGGAAAAAAATAGGACCTTATAAAATAGACAGCTTGCATACATTTTGTTTTCCCTAATATGTGGGCATCAACAAAGCTCGGTTGCCTAGATAGAAAATAAAGAACAGCTTAGAGTGAGGAGGAACCTCTGGCTTTTTATCTATTGGGTAACCAGACACACTGCTGGCTGGTTTGATAAAATGGCCAGTTTTCTTCAGTCTTGTGGTGGAAAAAAAGCATATTAGATAGTTTGATTTCTCACACAATTCTCTTCTGCAGTAACATGTGGGTCTGCTTTGCTTGTGTCCTTGGCTGAGTTTTTCATCTTCAGACCTGACTGTGGCCAGTCAAGAGGGGAAGGTAGAAGACCCGATTCTGCCAGCAAGAAAGGATCCTCACAGGGATGGCTTTTAAGGTCTTGGAAATAAACCAGTAGTGAAGACAATCCCCCACAAAGTGACTTCTGATCCCCCCCCACCATGTGAGTCACCCAGAGCCTGGCTGCCCTTAGAAGTCCTGCTCTATCCCCACTCTGGCCAAGCCTCCTTTGTCTGCTTTACTACGGGAATGACATCCTGATGCCCAACCAAGGGCTTCAGCTCCGCAGAAGTGGAGAGTGACGTGAAGCTCCAAGACAGGGAACAATGGCAATCTTGGAGCAGCAAGGCCTGGCCCTGCCCTTGAGTTCTCGGATCTATGCTCTCCAGGCCTGCCCTTGAAGTTCTGTATGCCCTCTCCAGAATGGAAAGCACAATCTCTCCCTCCCAGATTCTCACAGAGTTGAGGAAGCTCAATGTAGTCAAAGGGCTTTCAAAAAAGCTTATTGCGTGAAATCAGTTTAGGATGTCAAAATTCACGTTTCTAGACTCTAGACAGTATGTGACCAAATCATACTGAAGGTGGGAAAATGACCACTGGCTATTGATCATTAGAAAATGCCGGGTTTAGGTACTGGTGGGTATTGGCTCAGGCTGTCCAGTGGCCACTAGGGAAGCAAACTCTGATGAAATTACTAGTCAAGATAAAACTTAAACATCACACCTGGAGTTCTGCCTTTCTCCTACATGGACCTAAGAGAGAAGAATTGATCTGAGGCACTAAAAGTAGGATTAAGATGAATATTGTTTTGAAACTCTAGCTAGGGGTGTGGGAGAAGAAAGGTTGAGGTGGCCATTATGAGCTGCAAAACAATCTGGGGAGATGGCTTTGGAAACTGGTAATGTGTTTTCCTTAGCCCCAAATATGCGAGAGTTAAAAAAAAGTTTTATAGAACTAACTGA